GACAGCCTTTGTGGATTGTAGACTTTTTTTTCTCTAATGCTTTGAAGATTGTTTTCATGAAAGTAATTCCAATATTTTATTTCCCAGTTTATGGATGGATCCATTTATTGCAACTGTTGGGATTCTCATTAGTGGAAATTAGCACAAGCTGTGACATAAGCTTGGCTTGACTTTTCCACCACAGATCACAGTTACATGAATGAAGTAACTCGTTACTGAAATCATCTGTAGTTAAGAGAAGCTTTCTGTCAAGTATCTTTGCAGAGAGTGGAGCACAATTACAGCCTGGGGAGTGGTGTAAAGCACAGCGCTTTCTCCACTGGAGCAGGACGTATGGTGAACTGTCAGCTGAGCCTGCATCAGTGCCTTGACAGCCCTGATTGCCTCCTGTGAGCACTTGAGATAGATGCAGGTGAAAAGAGGTGGTGCTGTTACCTGAAAGGGGGCTGTTTTAAGAATGTGTTCTTTTAATGCTGTGGAGTTCTTGTGCTTATTCTGGGAAAATGTGTTAAAAAATCTGAAAGGGTTTTAAAGTAGTGCCAGTATGGCATTGAAGTCCATAGAGCCTGTCTTGCCTGAGCTTCTGTACTCACTCTTGATGTCTTATTTCCAAGAAGGTTCAGAGATAAATAACTTAACCACCAGCATGCAAGTATCTGCAGGAGTGGGGAATTTCTGGTGGAAAACTGTTTAATTTAGCAGCAGAATGAATGATAAGGTCAGTTGGATTGCAAAAAAAAAGAAGTTAAAGGCCGTAAATACCCTTTCCCAAGGAAGAGATACTTGAAGTTGGGGGGACTGAACATAGACACCATCTTTAGAAGTACATAGAGTGATTTTCTCCAGCTGCTGTGTTGGAAGTAGAAGCCTCATGAGGAAGATTTGTTTGTAATGGTAAAAAAGACTCCCTAGCCACAGGGAGTAGATTTACTAGACACAGCCTTGTAGTTTGGTTTGCCATGGCCTGTAAGCCTTGCTGCTCTTGACATGTTCCGTATTTAGCCTATTTTCTGCCCACTTCCGTTTTTATAAAACTTAAATAGCACGTATGGTGGTGTGTGCAGGAGATCCTGTCTGTATTGTGAGTCTTGTTTACTCTAGTTCTTGGCTCCTCAGTCACTAGTTGTTTACATGGTTTTACTGGCAACTGCAGTTCTGCCGCTTGTTCAGCTCCTGGCACTCTTAATTAACTGGTGGGCTTGGAAGGAAATGTGCTTTTGTGTTCTTTTTTAAGACTTGAGAATAAATATGTGAAATCTGGTTTTCTTACGGTTTTTATATATGACAGAAGGATGGGAAGGCAGGTGTAATAATACTGTGTATTGATTTTTTCATTTAATCAGTCTTGAAGGTAACTTTTCTGTAGCATTGTGTGTTGTTTGTAGATGAGTCTACTCAAAAAATGATGGCTAATGTAGAAGGAGTTACTGTGAACCCTTAAATCTAGTGGCGTGGTCTATCCATGAGTTCAGCTATTTGGATTTTGTTGTAAACCTCTTAGATATGATACAGTGGAATCCTCTTAAACACAAATTCCATGTAGCAAGTGACAGAACATAATGAAAGCATAAACTCTTACACAAATAAAACTGTCAAATGCATAATGCTGCAGATATAAACAGCTGTGGATTTCAGTATGTTCCATGGAATTTAGTGAGTTGGGTTAGAGTGCACATTTTTGGGTCAGTTTTGATTTTTACAGCAGAGCTTGAAACAGTATTGATACTTGCTAAAATAAACTGTCCTTGCTTGCAAAGGAAGCCTTTCTTGTCGATATCTTAAAATATCTGTACTGCTGACAAATTAGTAGTTATCTTTATATAATGAATTGAAAAAACACCGTATAGACATCAGGTGTATAAATAATAGGAGATACAGCATGTCTTCAATACAGTGCAAGAAGCTTTCTCAGCTGGTGTGGAACAGCACTACTAAAGAATACTTGAATTAAGACTGAATTAAGTGTTTATGCTTTATGTATTTTAAAATGCGTAAGGAAGTGTGTCAGCATCGTCAGAAGTCATTCAATGTGGCTTTCCAGTGTGTCCTCCTGAGGATTCTGTGCTGTCGCTGTTGGGCTCAGCTGGGCTGTGGAAGGAGCACACCCATCACAGGTCTACCCTGCACTCTGTAGCAGGGTCAGGAGGAGCAAAGGAGGTCCTGAATGCCTCTGTGCACTCTGCCTGCAGTCCTCAGGGAAACAGTGGTGTTCTACCAAAACCTTCCCACAGCTGCAGATGTGGGCACGTGGGGAAGAGCTTTCGATAAGATCCCGCTGGTGGCTTAGCTAAGTCATGTTTTCCTGCTCTGCTGATGTTTCCTTACTTTGTGCCTGGTGCACAGTTTAGAAAGGATCTTATTCATCATCGTTAACCTTGCCCTGCACAGGGTGAATGATGGAGGCTTTAGCAGAAGACTGGCAACCTGTTCTCTGTTAATCAAACAAACCAACTCCTCACCATCCAGTCAGGTGGTGCTGGTGCCAGTTCCAGGATGCTGGTTCTGGAGTCACTGGATGGAGTGTTCATGGCTGCTGCTGACTGTGCTGGTGAGCACCCATCAGCCCTCCCCACTGTGCAGGGTGGTGTTTGCCATGCTGTGAATGGACGTGTTGACACAACTCAAGCGTTCTTGTCTTCACTTTGCCTGTCTCAGCTCAAACTCTTCCATGATGCAGCTGTATAAATATCTGAGTCCTGCCTACGTGGCCAGTAACTGCAGATACTTCTTGTGTCTGCAGGCAGATACAAAGCACATGCCTGCCAGCACTGCTGCAGCTTGGTGAGCCCTTCTTGGCTCAACCTGTGCTGTAAAACAAAGCTTCTAAAATATGGGAGGTGTCAGAGACAACTGACACTTCCAGGTGGGATGCTCAGTATGTTATAGTTGGATATTTGTCCTCTGGATGCTATAAATACAGATTTTCCTGCACTGCGGTGATTCTGGCCCACAGAGATGTTGTATTGAAAGGAAGGCTGTAGCTTACTTCAGTGGAACTGAAACAGATTAAAATATTTTTAAGCAGCCTGCATTATTTTAACAAGGTGATTTTTTTTTCCTCCCCAGGAGAATTGTTCCTATGTAAAAGTAAAGTAATTTGGATGACTTTTGAAGCCATACAGCTCATGTTTTGCATAACGCTGAGTTTTCAGGTGACCTGCTTTGTGACCCAGTATCGTGTTCCTCTGGCAGATTTGTAAACGTTCGTAGTACAAATTTGCAATGCAGGGCACGCTTTTCTTTGCTGCTGAGAGGATGTTTGCTGCCACCAGCACAGGACAGGTGCCTGTCACCCTTGTTGCATTGTTACTGGCAGGCAGCGTGCGCAGAGCTTGGCGGTGGGAGGCTGAACTGCTCAGCTTCAGGCAGAGAAGAGTGGGAGAGGAAAGGGGTTTTAGGGTGGTGGAAAAGCCTGCTTAGTTAGCTTAGTTCTGCTTAGTCACCCATTCTGTGTGGACCCATGATCTAAAGAGAAGCTTTCTACAAATCTCCCAGAACGCTGTCGAGGGGGAAATAATGGCTGGTGCTGCAGTGGTGGTCCTCTTGGAGAAAGAACTTCCAGGAAACACAGCAATTCCCATTCTGTGGAATTTATGGAGAAGGCTTGTACTGCCCTGCTCAGCAGACAGGCGAGGATCTCTTCTGAAGTGGAATCATCCTTGAGCAGTGTCAGCTTCAATTATGAAAATCAATCATTAGGACTTCATTAAGCCCAACTTCATATGTTAAAGTTTATAAAAGTTACTATTAGCAGTCATGAAGAAAGATGTTTGTTTTTTGCAGACTGTATTAAGTATAACATTGATTTTGACTTGAAAGTGTCCAAACCCAGAATTTAAGGCAAATAAAATTGACATGAAGGGATGTGTTTCGCTTGCATTCATAAAGATGGTGCTTCAGGGATTTATATGAAATAGAAAACCTTCTGCAGGTTGCATGAAATGTAATAAATTGTGTCCGAAAACACCCCCAGTTTGACTATAAAGGCCTTATCTCACCCATGTAAAATATTTATGTGTAAATGCATATTTTATATTTTTCCTTTACCATCCTTGGGTTGCTTTATACTTTCATAAATGGCATCTCTGTTGTTTACTTGCAGTGGAGGCAGCAAGAAAATCTCATACGTTTTATCTAATGTTATTACTTTGAGTTTTCTTTTGGTTTATTTTGAGTATAAGGAGGAGCAAAAGGCTGATTAGAGTAGAGTGATAGGGTGATAAAAGTAAATGTGGAGAGTTGGAAATTTTTTGTGAAGATCTTTGCCTAATTGTGACTTACCCTCAGATATATGAATCCAAAGTTGTTCATATTGTTTTACATGTCACCTTTTTCTGCTGCTTCTACACTACATTGAGTTGTATTTACTGGTGATCGAAAAAGGTACTACCTACTGTATCTGATTATTTGATTTTTAAGGCATTTGACACTTATTTTGTGGTTAAAAGGCCTAAAAAGTTCTTGAATTTTAAAGCTGGGAAAAATATTTTCTGAACATACTAAGGTGATGCTGTCTTAGCATCTGGTAATGATGTATTTGCTGTAGGAATAGACATGTCCTGTGTTAATGTCCAAGTTTCTAAAAGCATTCAGTTTTGGGTGTTTTCAGTAAAATCTTCAAGAATGATTCAAGTTTGGGAAGCATTTTAGTGAGTGATTTAAAGCTCAAACTGTTCATTGAAGAGAAGGAGAAAAGGTGACATTGCTGTTGCTTAGAAATACTTAAGTAAGAGAAAGAGATCAATTTAGAAGAAAAGGAAAGAAGAAAGCTACAGGAAAAGCCAAATTGATAGTTGAAGAGAGACAATTTGCAGAGAACATAGAAAACATGTTTACAGGAGGTAATTAGCAGTTGATGCAATTTTTTAAGGGACTTAGTAGATCAAAGATGCGGTGGTTTTAGCAGCTTTTCACCTAAAAAATTGTAGTTACCAATTTTATCACAACATGTTTTGGACTTCCTGAAGTTGAAAAGTTTAATAAAATATTCCCCTCCCTTTCCCCAGTGTCCTTCCAGTGGTGCTTCAGGATTTCTGTCCCACATCGTTGCTTTTATCTGTTGTTTTTCGGTCTGACAGCCAGGGGAACGTAAAAGCTGTTGATGCTGGGGGAGGTCTTGTTCTTGCTGCCAGCCCCTGCTCCTCTTGTGCAGTCCCAGTGTCAGCATGTGCTTGGTGTGGTGGTGGGGAGTCCATCCCAGTGCTTTATTAGCAGCAATAATTAGAGGAGCTTTTAGCTCTTTGCACGGGCTAAACCCAAGTGCTGTGTGTGCTGGGGTAAAGGAGGGACCAGTGCAATGAGAAGTGAGAGCTGGGACAGTGCTCTTGAGTGGCAGTGTTGCATGGGTTTATTGCAGTTGTTTGTGTACCTGCATTTCCAGAGGCTTGGAGCAGCCTGCCAGAGGTGGGGAGGTCACTGGCTGAAGGAGTGATCCAGACTGTTGTGCTTCCCAGCCAGTGGATTAATTCTGTGTTTTCAGCAGATGCTGTGAAATGGATAAATTTAAGACTGTTGTTATGCACTTTGCTTTCCAAATATCCCAGTGAAATATTTGCAGAGTTAGTCATCTAGGGAGAGGGTGGGCAACTCCTACTGCTTCACAGACATGTGATATGGGAGATGCAGGATTACACCCTTGTGGTATCTTATTCTTAACTGGTTTTTTTTTTCAGGCTGAGCACTGCTGAAGAGGAGAAGATGTTAAGGTTTTTTTTTTGCTTGCAGACCTAGTCTGTGTTTTATCATCTCTTTTTCAGAGAAACTATGAATTTCATGGTCTCAAATGCATAAACTTTCGGGGTCCTGCTGGTCACTTACTGATAAATTGTCCTTTTGGGATGAAGAATTTAAATCTCCTGTGTGTCTATTCTAGATTAACTATCAAGGAATTGTGGTGCTCTGGTTAAGATGCTGTTTCCCTGGGTGCTGGAACTAACTGATCCTACAGAGTAAGGAAGTATAAGGAGTTGGTGAAAGGAGAGGAGAGCTGTTGCTGTAGGTCTGGCTGTGCTTGCTGAGCTAGTCAATCTCTGCACTTGGTGCTTTCACTTTATATGGGCCTTACATGTGTATCTTAAATAAAATACTGAATTCCATCCCATTAGTGTCTAGGTTCTCCAAATGAATAGTTCTGTAGAAGCTTGGGATTGGCTATTGAGCCATGATAGCAATGGCCAATGGAGATGGGTAATTCTTAGCTGAAATGTGAGCATTGCAGGAGACCATTAGCTTAGTTGATTCTCATCTCAAAATCTTTTGAAACGTCCAGTAATGGAGAATTATTTAATACCCAAAATTCTAAAACACAGGTGTCTATTTTTTCCCAGGATGGGGAAAACCTCCAAACTTACCTTATTTAACACAAGAGGAAAAACTTGTTCCCAACCAGTCTTAGTGGTTTGTTGGCTCAGAATGAATCCAGATTTACTGACATTAAAACTACAAAATTCAACAGAAAAAAAAAAAAAAAGAAAACAGTTCATTTTCACATTCACGCTATTGCTAACCTGGCTGTTTGAATTTACTCACTGTGAGACCAGAATACAGATTTACTCTACAGGAACCATGCCCTCTCTTTGAGATGGCTTGTTGTATCTGTGTAATTGTTCTTTAGAAGAGGAAAACGAACTTCTGATTGTAGAAGTACTTTGCGTTTGGGAATATTTTCTTAAAAGCTTAGGTTTCATTCTTGCTGTTTCTTGTAAAGCCCTACACATACTGCTGTGATACCTGTGGCATTATAGTAATGGCAATGTTTTAAATTCATTTTAGCCATTTGTAAAGAAATTTTATGCATACCTGTAGAAGAGGACTGTGTTGACTTTAATAAATGAGTCTCTGAATTGGTATGATTTCTGTGAGCTGGAGGTTGATGGACACATGGTAAGAGGTGGGGGAGATGTCAGGATGATAAGTATGTGCGTGGTTTTATTGCTTCTCCAAGGCAGATGGGTACTGCTGGGGAGCCCAGTGCTCCCAGGTGCTCCAGCCTGCTGCTGTGGTGCCTGTTCTGGAGCTCAGGGTGTACTGATGCTCTGGGCATCACGAGATGCCTTTCTGTGAGACTGATTGATGTGGAATACTTCCTGAAAGAGACAAAAACGTCTGCTCTGTGTATTTCTGCATTTCATTTGAAAATACAGGTTGCTAGAGTTTAGGATCACAGCTTGGGTGCCTGTTGGCCCATGACTTATGCAGATGAGGGTAATGGTATAAAGTGTACCTGCATCCTCCTCCTGCCAAAAAATCACTTTCTTGTTAAGGCTGTAGTCCCTGACTCTGGGTGGGTGCAAGGGGCTTTCACTGCATAGGAGTAATTTCGTGTTGTGGAAAGCTGGTAGAAGAGAAGAGGTTAATGAAGATTCTCAGCTCTCTTCAAAACAAAAGCTCTCTTCTCAGCCCTGGGTTTAGTTTTTAATTAGTTTGGATTACAGTTTGATTTAAAGCGGGTGAAGGGATGATGAGTTCATGTGATCTAGAGGTTTGAACATGATGATGCTATTTGCACTTTTTGGTTAATAATGTATCATCTGCTAGAAGGATGACTGGTGGTTTAACAGGATTCCTTCCTGTAAAGCATTTTAAAAGAAGAGCTAGCCTGTTTTTGCAAACTTCATTCCCTATCAGCATTGCCAGACAGCAGTGCAGAATTATGTTTTATTGTGAAATCTACTTCTGTTTAGGAAAAAATAAAGTCTGTGAAAAACCTAATTCAGTGGTGTTATTTTTTTTTTTCTTTCTTCTTCCTCTAAGCTATAGAGAAAGCATAATTTTATATACTTCATATTGAAAATTCATTCAAATGCAGTCTGGATTTACTTATTTTTACTATCTCATCAGCAGAATATACTTTTTTTACACGAATGTATTTTATAGATATATAAAAAAGGCAGGTTAAAAAGAATGTTCCTGAAGAATTGTTTTATTGGTTAGCACAATATATGTGCTTTTAATGCAATTTAGATTGTATCAAGTGAAAATTGAGCTCAAAATTCTGAAGCTGGTGCTTGTTCTTGTAAATAATGCACACTTTAAGTCAACACTTCGCATCATTATCTTGAGCAATGGTTTAGCCTTGATATATTTCAAAACACATGTATTAGATAATGTGCTGTATATATATATATATATATAGAATTCGTCAACTTCCAGTTAATCAAGTTAAATGCTCTGTTTCTAACTTGAAGCTTTGTTCCTTCAAAATAGTATATTAAATGATGCGTAAGATAAATTTAAGAGGGCATGTTTTCTAGCAAGCAGTTTATTATAGTTCGTTGATTGAGAAGGCCTCTTTATTTTTTTTTTCTTTTTTTTTGGTGTTTAGAGGAAGCTGATCCTGAAAATGTCTTAGTGGAACAAATTACCGGATTGAAGAAAATGTATTTGATAGTCATTATTTTCGAAGGGGAACTATTTGTGCAGTCAGAAGGGTGGAGCTGGTGGTGGTGTCTGGAGAGCGTGTCCTTTGTCTGAATAAAAAACTAACCCTGGGAAAGGATTTATATTGGGATATTTTGGGAGAGAGCTAAGAACACCTGGTCTCCTATCTCCACTGTTATACCGTCAGTTGAGTGTTTCTTTTTCTGTCCTTTTTTGACACACACAAATAATGAGCTATGCCTTATATTGTGAAACTACTTCCCACAGTTTGAAGGAAGGGGTAAAAAAGTCCTGTTGCCAGCTTCTTTTGCTAGCCATTATCTGTCTCAGCTGCATGGAGCGTATGTGTAAATGCAAATTTAGTAGTTACTGTTTTTTAAATTACACTTAGGTTTTAGTTGTTGCTGAGGTTTGTAGTGGTGACATTTTGATAAAGTCACAGCATGTGGATGTGTTCATCTATTTCCATATGAAGAAACTTACTTTTAGCATATTTAAAGGACATTGCTTAATTCAAAAGACCATTGTGTGAAAAGTGGCTATGAAGGCTGTGAAGCTGGTTTTGTTTTCTTAATGTAATTCCACTCACAGCCTTAATTTCATTTCTTTCTTTAGTTGAAACAACTGGGTTGCTGGCTAATTATACCTGTAGTGCCCTGGTACTCTGTCTTCTATACTGAAATTAAGATGAGAGTTAGCACTGTTTATTGAGGAGATCTCCACTGCTCCCAGTAGGATGGTATATTTCTGCTGCTGAAAATTGTCAAGAGCTGGGATTTACTTGGTAGCTCACTCCAGCAGCTGCTCTGCAAGAAACTCCCCCTGTGGTATTTTGGATTTTGTCCATCAGCACTTTCCAGATAGCTTCTTGGGGACAGCAGATACTTGGATTTCTAACTTATGGTCACCTGCAAATACTGGAGCTTGCTGATTTGGAGGTAAAAGTCTTTGCTAGCAGTGCATGAAATGTAATTGGAGCCTTCCTGTGATATTTCATATATTGATTGCTTGCATATGTTGGCTAAGCCTGCAGCATACCTTCACTCATCTGACTTTGATAACCCTTTGTCTGTGGTGAAGCTGTGCAAATACATCATCCCTCAAGGGATGGTGAGGTGTGACAGGACAGGGGTTGATGCATAAGTTAATTGACCCAAACTTTCCTCTTCAGCAATGGCACTGTGATGTACAGGGTAAAGCAAAAATAGTTTTAACTTTCTTAACCAGGAAGGATGAGCCTCAGTGCTGTAGCACATACTTGATAAAGTTTTTTTATCCAGAGAGTATGCAGGTGTTTCAAGAACCACTGATAATACCTTGTATGTCCGAACTGTTCTCTGCATGTGAAGCTAAGGAAATGCATCAGTCATGGCATCAGTCTTCCTGGGGTTGTCCAAGTAGTACTTTGTTTCTGTAGGTAGTGTTTTAGGTGGCATCTACAAATAATTTGATGTGAAAAAGACAAATTTAGATGTGAACTTGTCAGGTGCTAAAATAAATGTGACGATATGAAGGAAGTGTTTTGTTCATCTGGTATTTGGGGAATAATTATTCTTTTGTTCTGTATGTTTGCTAGGTATATTGTAAGCTGAGCAAAGTGGGGCTAATCTGTTCACATCAAATATTTGTCTGCACTCTTCCTGTAACTTTTTTCACCCCATGTATTTTGCATGTAGGTGTTGTCTGATAGTAAGGAAAACAGTGGGTAAAGAGTTGAGTCAAAAATGCTTATTTATTAAATGTTAATATGTATTTAAGAAGGAACCTCAGCCATAGAGTAGAATAATGAAGTTTACACAGGCACAGTTTCAATTACCATATTGAATTAATGGTTACTGATGGTAGAAGGAGCTGCTTCTGCCAAAGTTCTAGTGCTGCTGCTAAAGGGTATGAGATGTGCTGCTGTTTCCAAAACGAAAAATAATACATTAACCTTTTTTTTTTTTCTTTACTGGAGCTTTGTGGATGAGGAAGCTGGGGGAATTATCCCCAGCCAGTAGTGTCTCCAGCCTACCTCTGCTGTGCCCAGCAAATCCTATCTTGTTGTCACCTGTATGGTTACAAAGATGTATGAGACCCCAGCCTCCATGTAATACAGCTCAGGGCTGTGGTGGATTTTTGCTTGAGTTGCTTTGCTCACCAACGCTAACATGTCAGATGCAGTTTACACTGTTTGGATGAACATCAGCCCTCTAGCAGGAACTTTTAGAAACATTGCTCAATAAAATTCAGTGCAGAGTTGAGATAGCAAAGATAATCCTCCATTTGCTTGTAGAACAGGTGTACATTATATAGAACAGGATGGCACTGGGGATGGCTTTTGAGGCTTATGGTTGGGAAGGAAAGAGATTTGCATGGAAGAGTGTGTGCTGGAATTCATTGTCTTGGGTTAATTTTGAGCTGAAATTTCTATGTGCTTTGTGGGGAGGGATCTGGTTTAGTCTACTTTGTGCTGCCAGCTTGACAGCTCAAATACTGATTTCTCATCCTCACACAACCTTTTGACTTCTCTTAGCTTTGAAGAAATTCAGTTTGTAGAAGTGTAATTTCTTTTCAGTTCTCCTCAAGCTGACCCAGCCCCCTGGTTAATTCGCTGCTTGCTGTAACATTAAGCCTCATAAAACTCAGTATGTGGAGCTCTAAACCTGCATTTGCTATTAGCCCTAAAAGTCAAATCAATAATGGAAAGATCTGTAGCTCCTTATCCCAAAGGATATGCTATGCTGTGCTGGTATGACACGCCTATGACTGTCAAGAGAAGTGGAGCTGGGTAGCCCAGTTCTGTCCTGGTGTGTTTGGGTCAGTTTGTGTGACACCTCAGGAGAAGGTGGCTCTGACACAGCCTTTCCCTGTGGAGAAGAGGGCAAGAGGAGGAAAAGTGGTCTCTGAGGAGAGCTCTGCCCTTTTCTGTAGTGGGGAGATAACACAGTGTATGAATGCCAATGAAGCATCTATCTCCTGCAGAATCAACAGTTCCTTTATCTCCATGAGCCTTGCTGGGTACTGATTCCCTGCCCAGTATCATGACCTCATCCTCTCTTTCCTCCATAATTACAGGGAACAATGTTGTGTTTTTCCTAAAGGCAAGCTTGGTGGAAATCTTGGCCAACCCTCTTGATACTGTATATTTGGCTTAGATGAGGAGCATCTGGGCAGGATGAGGAGGAGGAGGATTGAGGCTGTTTGGGAGCAGCTTGGAGCTCCACAAGGCTCACTCAGGAGATTTGTTAGCAGTTTAGTACACAGAGGTATAGGAAATGAAAAACTTGCCAGTGCCAGGGAGGGAGAGCTGCCCCCTGCACAGGGATTCTATTGACTGCAGTGTTTGGACATAACCAAACTCTTTTCCCCCTCCTCCCCCCATAAAATCAGAGTTAGAGTTACAGAGATGTGATTTCTTGCATCAGTTTGTAGATGTGCACAGCAGAGCCTTCCTTCAAAGAAGGATGCACAGAGGGGTTGGAAGTTAATGGATGGTATGGATTTATTTACAGATAATCTTGGTTACTCTGTCTGGTTTCTGAGTTCAGACCTCTTGCTGTTAAAGGGAGTCTCTTTTCTATCTAGATGGAAAACATGTGCTGCGTGGCCGAATTGTAGGACAGCAGGTGACAATGCATCATCCAGCTCATAGACCATCAGTCAAAAAAGATAGTGCTTACATCATTAGGTGTGAGATCATTGCAGAACAAAATTGATAGAGCAAGTTAATTATGCAGCTCTTATATTAGTCCAAATACCTCTGACTGTGATGATGAGCCTAGTAGCACACTTATAAAATTTTAAATGTATGATGTCTTCACTGGAGAAAAAGTCTTTTGAGTATTTTTAAAATTCTGTTGCCTTGACCACTGAGGTCTGATAGCATGCTGGGCTGTCCATGAAGTTGCATTTTGGGAGGGTTGTGTTTCTGTCACTGTTCACAACAGTAATTAATAATTTACTCTTACTGGGTGGTTGTGAGATTTCAGGGGGCTTTTGATTTGAACTTAATGCAGAAAAGTGAAGAAATACTGAAGTATTTACTGGGAAAATGATTCATAGTTTTGATGTAAAGTTACTTTCATTTGAACTTTTTGCAAACTTAGAGTGATGGTAAGAAGCACTGGAGCATTCAGACAGGATTTTTTTGGGGTGACTCTGAGCTTCAGCATCTGCAGGCTGGCTTGCAGATGTGGTGGAGGCATTGTAGAGAAATGGAAGGCTCCAGCAGAAATCTGTGTCTCAGTATGCTTGAGTTTCCATATGTCTGGTTTCACTTTTCTCTGTGTAACTGAGCACTGTGGAGATACAGAAACCCCTCAAGTGCCCCGTGGTGGAAACTCTATTTAACAGTTTTCTGTTGTATGAAAGAGATGAGCATGGCTTAGAATTTTTCACAGCAAAGCAGATCACAGGAGCTGTTAAGTGCATGAAGGAATGGCACCTTCAGCAAGTGCCTGAAACATGTACATGGTGTGCGTGCAGGCAGAGGGGGAGAAATCCCCAGTTTTACAATTGGCTTGTTTCTGCTGTGTTTTGAGAGGATATAAGATCTGGTCTTGTGTGGAAAACAGCATATAGTTTATTAATTTTGGAATTTAAGTCTACTCTGAGAGACAGACACATCTAAGCTATGTTTGCAACAGCCAGAAGTGCAAAGGCACGTTTTCCTTAAGTGTGGAACATCACAGATTTATTTCATTGTTTACTCTGGTGTTGACAGATGCTTCAAAGGCTGTAGATGTGAAGTTGAAATAGTGCTTCTTGTTCTGGTCTCTGGGGTGTCTGGGATCAGCCCTAATTTGATTAGAGTCACCGTTCCTTTTTAAAGCACTGACACCTGAAATCTGTAATTTACATACTCACACAGCTTTCACACTGTTTAGAGACCCCAGGCAATGCTGTCCACCACTTCCCGGTGTTTTAAAGCCTCTGGCAATAGCCATTAGGTAAAATGCATCACTAAAAGCCGTAACTGTGGGGAATGGATTATACAAAATGCTTTGCTGTGCCCCTACGCTGGAGAACTATTGATAGATGCAGAAAACATGGACATTTAGCTGTTGTTAGAAGAGGTGTCTTAACACTGTGCCAATAGAATGAGCTATTTAAGGAGGAAAGTTGCTGCTGGTTGTTATTTCAGGTGAATACAAAAGGAAAATGCCTTAGGGATAGCTGTGACAGAGTGATGGTTTTGAGCAGAGTGACATTGAGGATGATGCTTTGTTGAGAGAGGATGTCCCCAGTGTCATGCTGGGGGAGGCAGCTGAGCCATGCATGGGACTGTGGAGTCACCAATACTTGTTAGTTCTGGCAGCTGTTGGTTGTAGAAGAAAGAAAAGAATAAAATCCAAATTGTGTGGAGGATGCTAGCTTTGCTTTGCTGCTTAGAAATACTAAGGGTAGCAGCCCTGCAGCTGTAGCCCCTCCTGGCACGTGCTGAGGAGCACTGGGCAAGCCAGGGAGGTGCCTTGTTCTCTCCAGTTATGTGACTAGAAGAGTGAGGACTTTTTTTTCCTTAAAATTGCAGTTGTCCAGTCTCTAGCCAGCAAAGAGTGAAAAGCTTTTAAATCATTGTATCTGTAAGGAGGTGAAAACAGGGATGAAAACTTGTTATTCTCCGTGATCCTGGATTGGGAAAATAAGTCTCCTGCATCAGTTACTAAACTGCCTGTTCAAAAGTGTATATAAAACATAGTTGAAAAAGAAATATAAAACTTGAGTTCAACCCTAGTGTCTCCTGCAAAGGATTCATGACTTTTTATATGGTTTTTGGAACAGCTTCATTCACACTCAAAAATACTACCTTTTTTTCCCTTTTTGTAAATTGCATGGAGCATGCTGTGCTGTGAGCTTTGAGAGGATCTACCGTTCTTGGCCACCACTGTTTCTTCAAGTAAAAGGAGAAAAAAAGCATAACAAACCAACCTCAGGTATGGGACACACCCCTATTGACCTGCTGGGAGCAGTGTAGGGTGGAGGAGCTCATGTGTGGATGCTGGCTGGTGCAAGCTGGGCGAGTGCAGCTCTGGGTCTTGGGCAGCATCCACCTCTGCCATGGGAATGTGAGAGGCAGGGGATGTGTCAGAATCTGCCCTTCCATCCAGAGCATGAAGTCATAATGAGGAAGGCAGGGGAAGGTGCTTGAAGCAAAAGTGACCATGTGAACCTTAATTACTGATTAATCTACATTAGCTCTGATGCTCTCTGAATCCTCTGTGGCTCTTGTGACTCTTGGTAGAGGCATCTCTCTGATGGGAGGGTCTTAACCTTTGTTCCTATCATTTGGGTATTATATATATTATTATATACTCTTGTACACTAAAATATTCCTGGTCATCTAGTGGTTGGTTCCTTTTCCTCTTGGATTACCCTTGTTGCTGTGGGCACACTTATTTAGGAAAGTGTTGATGATGGAGTTAATAGGAACAATATTCAAATGTTTTAGACTAAGACGAGTAAATTGAAGCTTCTTTCTTTATACCAAGCCCACAGCATACTTTCACATCTCTGAATTTCCTAATTTGCATGTTATGTATGTGTTTTTTCTCACCATGTCCATTTATGCGAAAAGAAATACTGTGTTATTGAAAAACAAAGTAAATTAACTAAGCTTGATATAAAAATGGTCATCACAAAATACATCAGTTATGCACACTAATGAGTACCCAGACTTTAGATGGTGAAGAAATAAATTGCTTTCTCTTTTTACTAATTTTTAAACTTTCATTGGAAAGTAAGACTGGGGCTTGCTGTCCTTCTTATACCATGCTTTCCTTAAATAAAACTCAAAGCAAGATGTTACTTTGTTCCTATTCTGGTGGAGGCTTGCATAGCCTATTTTAGATGAGTTTGCCAGGATCTATTTTTGGCACGGATGTCCACTGGACCCTTAGCAGAAGTCAAGACCTTGACAGATAGTGGAGCACTTGGAAGAGGTGGTGCTTGCAGGCAGCCGCTGTCCCTCTGTCAGCCTTTGCAGCTGATCAGTTCATTACTCTGCTGAGTGCCTAAAGAGAATATCCTTGTGACTGTTCAATGTGGTTCCAAAAGAAAAACGTATTTTGCTCATTTAAGAATTGAAAATACGTTATTATGTAAGGCTTTGTTGGTACTTTGTGGTGCTAGAAGAGATGTTGTTACTCTGCTTTAACCCCATATTTAACACCCTGCTCTTCTGTACTCTGAAGATGTTGCTTAAATCCAAGCAGTTTCAGTGACTCTGACCAACTTAATTTTTTTTTTCCTTTTTTCTTTTTTTTTTAAGAATCAATTATGAGTCTTGGTCTAAATAACGTTCTGTGCTCCCTCTGCTGGCTCAGCGGCATGGATTAGTGCTTTGCTCCCATGGGGAGTGATGATGGATGTGTGCCCACAAAGTATGAACACTGGAGCAGGAGCTTCATTAAAATTAAAGCAAGAGAGACCTCACTGTGTCAGAAAGGAAAAGGTGGTTTGGGCCAGGAAACCCATTTTGTATTCAGTGGTTGCATAAGGTTTTAGTAACAGAGATAGAGCTATAATTTGGAAATAGTATGTCAATAAAAAAGGTGGCATCTTTTAAAGATAGTTAGCTTTTCCAAAAAATAAAATGGAAAACAGGTGGTATTGACAGGAAAATAACATTTTAATAGTAAGCTTTGGGAAGCTGAAGGGTTAGGATCAGGCTCTTTACATACAATTAAAAGAGCAGAGGAAATTAAATGCATTTTAGGTGTAATTTGATGCCTACAGTTTCTTTTTCCTTAGAAACCAATGAATATGCGTTAAATTTATCTTGGCACATGAAAAAGATGTAATGACTTGTACTAACAAGATAAAAGAAGAAGGCAGCACTTAATTTCCTAGGTAATACACAAAATAAAAATGATTTGCATGCCTTCAAATGATTATGCACAACCTTGTTAAATGCTGTACTGTACAAAAGAAGAACAATGAGTTACCCAGATAAGACATATTTTTGTGGCTGCAGAATGCCCATGGACAGGGATGAGGTACAGGACTTGTTCTCCACTAGTGCTCAGGTTTTTGATAAGCACTGCTGGCAAGGCAACGCACTGAAAAACACAAAGATGTCAAGAGTGTAAAAGGGTGATGGAATGTCTGTGTGATATTTCATGGTTACATGATGGTGCTTTGGTTACAGATGTGCTTGTTCTCTGAATTTAAATTGAGTTGCTTTCCTCTATGTTCAGTCACCCATTTTTGGGTAAGGTGCAGCCCATGGGTGATGTCAGCATCCCTTCTCCTGTTTTCTTCTAGGGACTCTCCGCTTAATATGGTGTTTACTGCTGTTACTTTACAGGCAAATTGTGCTCTTTGAGATTCCAGAGGGCATTTGCTATCTTTGTAGGCTACTGTAATGAGTAATGGCCCTCATAGCAATAGTTGTAGTGCTGCTTATATTGACTGGCGAGGCACTGTAATGAGGCGTGGAGAGGAGCTTTGTACCCAGCTCATTCCGTTTGAGTTGTCAGTCACTGCTGCATCATGGTTGAAATGGTTTATTGAGTATGACTGCCAAATTTTACGCAGGTGCCAGATTAATTTTGATGTATTGTACTTGTAGCAGTGACTCTGGACAGTTCGCAATGTGTCTGCTGGAAGACTGTCAATGGAAGTGCATAAGCAGTTGGCTGACACAGCAGTGGTGCTGTAAATAATTTCCTCTAGTATTTTCAAAACCTTTCAAACAAGGAATAGATTAAACAGAAACAGGGCGGGGGCTCCTACTGTAAACTAGACTTCTCTCCAGCTTTAATTGCATTTTAGATGGGCAAGGGCTGTTTGCTGCTGTTCCTGTGCCTCTGGTGTGACAAGTCTGCTCTGGGCAAGATGGGTATTCAGATCTCCTGCTGCTTCTTTTGCTGGGGTCTTTGTCTTTTCCTCCTTCCCTCTCGTGCTTTTTGCCTACTGAAGTGAAGAAAAATCTTTGTGCCCAGTCTTTAGCCTTCCCAGAGGAGAGGTCCTGCTTTCTTCCAGGACCCATATCTTGCTTCTGGCAATGGATACCTCTCATCAGATTTAGTGACTAATTCAGACCTTTGGATCTCACGTGATTCACATGATTTCTTCTTCTCTTGCTGTTTGTTTACCTGACGTCCCTGCACAGTTATGTTCATTACTTATTCAGCTTTTGGCATACTTCTTAAATAGAGATCTTTGCGTGAGTAGTTTGGAGGGGAAACCTGAACCCTAATTTGACAGCGAGTATTAGCCATGTTCAAAAGTTGTTCTTTAAATGCAGAATTGAAAATCAGCTTCTACTGACACAGTATGATATTTAAAGCAATCTCTACTGACCATACAAATCACATTAGTGATTTTGCTAGGTTGCTATTTGCCTGCCTTGCCATAATTTTACAGCAGGGCATATTGATGAATCCTGCTTTTCAGTAGCAGCCTTCTAAGAATTAAGCTTCAAAACTGATCCAGCTTTGCTTTCTCATTTTATAATCATATTCTGCTCCACAGTGGAAGTTTTTTTAATCTCATACCTTCCTGCTGTCCCTGGTGAGGTTGCCTTATCATAAATTCATTAATTTCCTTGTACTATTCCACTAAAATTACTGACTGGTTTGGTTTTTCCTGTCTGTTTTGGTAAAACTTGCAAAGATTTCTAATGAATTGAGGAAGCATTTTACAGAAACTGCTTGTTTCATTTCTAGCCTGACTTTTTTTACTGAGCTTTGTAACCTGGGAGTAAGTGATTGCATTAGGAAGGAAGTGGTGGGAGCAATCTGGGACAGGGTAACCTTATGGGTTTCTTCTGCTTTTAGCTTTTGGGATTTTTTTAATCTTCCAGCTCAAACAAAAAAATTCAAATAAAGTCACCAAAGCCCATAAGTTTCTGGAAGAAGTAATTTTTCATTTTTTATTGCTATAGCTTTATGGTTTGCTCTTAGGCAAGTGAATAAGTGAAAGAATAGAGTGCTGATCATGTAATTCTCATGCAGCCTGTCTTTGGGACAATGCAGCTACAAATCTCACTATTATTTGTAGGGTTTTTGAAGCTGAAATGTATGGAGTGGGTAATATTCCTGTCTGTTTGTGAAGTATTTTCTTTTTACTGTCAGCTCCAGTCTCAGCTGGAGGTTTTGGTGATGTTTCTGTATTACTAATCTTGTCACTGTGGGCCAATTGTTCAGCCTTCCTGCATGAAAGTGTTTTGGGTGATAGCAAAGGTAATCAATAGAAGATACTTGCATAATTATTGTAGGGCATCCCACCTCTCTGGATGTGGCAGATGGAAACTGATTTTTTTTTTCGTACTTGCTGGGGATATGTCTGGTTATATCTAATAGTGATCATTTTCAGTTGAATTGCTACAATTATTTTGGCACATACAGCAATTACTATATATAGTGAAAAGATTACAAAGCTTGTAGGAACTAAAAATGCATGTTACACCCTTATGAGGGCTGCCTTCGTGTCAAGACTAGTTTTAGGCAGGGATTCTGCATGAAATGTGAATGACCATTCTGTAGAGCAGCTTGATGGAGAGTCCCTGAGAAGAGAATCACATCTTGGTGCAGTTGGTTTGTGGTGGAGGTAGAGTAAAGCCACTGTGACAGCAGCTGTCTTCTACTTGGTTTTAAAACAATAAATCCCCCATCACTGTCATAGGCAACTTCTGTAATGAGAGTGACACGAAGATTTTAAAGATGAGAATTCTTTCACTCCTTTCCTTTATAAAGGAAACAGCATTAACAGAGTTTCAAGTGGCTGCAGGAGGATGCATGGCGACTGTGTAATGGCAGTGTGTAAAGAGGCTATACTTGCCTCAAATAAAAAAGTGGTTTTTGAAGGGAAAATCCAATATTGCCAAACCAAAGATGCGTACTAAAAGAAAGAAGGCATCTCTCAGGAAGAGGAAGCCATCATAAAACAAGGAAGCTTGGAAAGGGCATGAATTCTGGGAAGTTGAATGTGAGGATGAAATAGGAAATTCTGCTTCCAAGATGAAAGATCAGCTTATTAACGGATGTAAGGAAAAATCACGATTGAAACCTTTTCCAAATAGATTAGCTTCCAGGTGTAAAAGGAGCA